TGAATAAATAACCAACATAATCAGATGTACACTACTATTCAACAGTTAATTTATCAAATGTTCTTAAGAAGTCTTAACACCCACTTGCACAGTTCTTATGAAGATTCACCAATGTGTTTTTATTTGGGATTAGTTCTTAGGTAAGAACAGAATCTACACACACTCACAGACTTTTTCTTAGGACCTTCCTCAAGAACAAATTTAAGAAAAAAAAGGAAGATATTGGTGAATGAGGCCCAATGACTTCAATAAAATAGATCCCTTTTGCTGGCAGATAATTGTACAAAAAGATGCTAATATGTGCAGTGCAGCTTCACAACCTTCACATAATTTGTAAGAAACTAAGAATTGGGGGAAAAAGTTAGAAGATTTCAGAATGATGAAGAGCTGCTGATGATTCTATAATGACTAAGCAAGACATAAAACATTAAGAATGAAGAAAATTAATGTACAGAATGCCTTATGTTTCATAAGTGTGCAAAACGTGACACAAAATGGTTCTAAATACTTGGTTACAACATATTGTAAAATTTCTTGTTGTTCCAAAAATATTTGAAATATTGAGTAAAACTGCTAAACACACTTTGGTGTGTTGTTTATACCACTTATTATATGTTATTACTGAATATATTACTGTATAATAACAAACATTACTACTATGACAAGTGCTTCCAAACTGCAATCAGTAGAGTTTATCAAAGTGAAACTTTTAAGAATTTCTAAGCAAGAATAACAATTTAATCAGAATTTCATGACTCAAAACTGAAGTGTGAGTAGACAACACAACAGATCTATAACAAATAAAATACATTTTCATTGAAAATCTCACTACTGCATATAGCAGGATGTGACTTTTTCTGTTCCTGACAGAAGCCGAGAGTTTTTTGTTGAGCATCAGAGGAACTGCAGAATGCCACAATTACATTACTATACTGCCACCTAGCCGAAACAAGAGGAACTACATGTAGATTCATTCTGGTCATCTACAGAAACTACTAAAGAGTTTGTTTTAAGAATATTTCCTGAATACCTTTATTGTTTGCTTAGGAAAAAAAAACTTCCTGAAACATTTTTAAGGGGGAAAAAAAGTTCACTATGAATAATATTTACTATGAATACTAAATAATAAACCATCCACCTAAATTACATCCACCTGAATAAAGTTCATCAATCACTGCTTTGGCCTTTAAGCAGTCCTGGAAACTAGAAAATTCTCAGTATGACTGGTAGTGCAGGGCAGTGATGTGGAGGCTATTTGATTTCCTGCCTCTGGGTGAGGCAGCTGGCCAGAACCTGTAAACCATGCAGCTGGCACTAGAAGTATAGCAGTGACCTTATCGAGAATTCAGCTGGCACAACATCTAAGCCCACAGCAAAACAGGCCAATCTGTGGATTTCTACACATGCTTACTGAAGATGACAGGTCAGTGTTGTTGGGTCAGAACAAGCCTGAAGGCATGACATGGGCAACATTTCACCAAAATTACATCATTTGAAAAAATGACCAAAGGAAATGGAACTCATGTGGGTCTCAATAACTAACGGCAAATATTAAAACGCTGAGGCAGTGTCTTTTAAAGTACTGCTTAAAGGAAGTTGACTGGCAAAATCGATCAGATCATGAAAAGTGCATCAAGGCTCAGCTGTTGTGGCCTCTACTCCGCACAATTAATCATCAATGATAGTTACCCTAAGGCAAGAACTTAACAGATGTGTTCTACTGCCAGTAATTGGTCTTCCTGGAATGATGTTGCAAAATGTCTGAATGTGAGTATACAGCATCGTCACTTATGTATCAGTGGGTGCAATCAACTCATGCAAATGAGCACCATTTAACATTGATCACGTGAGAGAATGCAGAAACCAACATCTAACATGGCAACGTTTTGGTGTCCATTCATTAAAGGGGAATGCCTTTCTGAGTATATTGTAAGTACTTAAAAAGACACTGACCAACTACATATTTCATTAAAAAGAAGCATAATTAGAGTCGTTGCACTTGATTAAATAAAGCATGCAGTGTGTTAAGTTTTAATGATAATTGTATTTAGTATTTCTTAAATGTGACACTGCTGGTTCTTTTTCCCATTCTAACTTACCAGATGCCAGAAAAAAATAAACACTGCAACATATCATGTATTGTGAAAATTACTGTGATATATCTAATTCAATCAGTCACTCAGTTGAGGTATAATGCTCCATTCTAGAGAAGCCACAATGGTGATGAAAGGAACCAGGTGTCCGAAACGTTAATGCCTCTAAAATCTCCTTCACAGAAACATATTACATTAAACTGTTATGAATACAAGAGGTAGTTTTGAGTTTGATCTCATGATCTTTGCCTGTATCTTAATACATTTGTTTACATCACAATGTGGTCTTTTAAGCATCTAACAGATTTCTACACTGAAGACACAGAGGAACAAATTGAGAAACATTTTAATAACTAGGCAAAATATGTGGCAGAGCAACTTCAAAATACTCTAGTACAAAGAAAAAAAAATCAAGCAAGATAGGACAACCAAAAAGTCCTTAAATAATTTTACAGACTTCATGAACTCACAATGATACATGACTGAAGAGGATTCAGGATGACCAATGGAACAAAATGTAAAACGCAGGACTGCTGAAACCCACCCGGATACCAATTCAGTAGAAACATTCAGATTTCAAATTTACAGCACTGCTAAATGTTTAAACAAATGATGACAGGCTTTTCTTAAGGACATCTAAAACCTTTTCATTAGCACATTTACAGGTCAGTTTCCAGACTGCCAGTGGCTATAAATATTAACAGTAAACTTTAAAGGGCCCTACATGTTTTATTTTCCCCCTGAAGTCCACTTATGATGATGGTGTGGTTTTATGTACCAAAAACGGTCATAAATCATTTTTACATGACCATCTTCCAACCTCTCTTTATCCCTTACAATCAAACAGGCTGTCAGTCTTTAAGACTAATATGTTTTAATGAGCTCGGTTCTGAGTGGCAGACCTGTAGCACAGCTGAAACACTCCTTTTAGCTTCAGTGTGAATAGACAGGACTAACCTGCTATAGACTGCAGAGGTGGATATACATGTAAATGCACTGGTATTCAGCACAAAAACAATGAATTCAATATAACACCGATTTTTTTGGCCATTTAATTACTTTATATGGACTAGGGAGTGAATGATACATTTTAAAACTACAACAGTGGCTTTAAGGTCCAATTGTGTACCTTAAAGTTGTTTTTCCAGGTGAAAAGTATGTAAAATAAAAAGCCTGGAGCAGAGACAGGGTGTGTGGAGTCAATACAATTTAGAAAAGATCATTTCAGTGGTTTATGGAACAATTATGTTCCCTGACTTAAGGTACTGAGATGTACCCTTGAGGGTACCACCCCAGTGACAAGAGGGGTACTGCCCCAGTGGCACTTTTGCATATTTTTTCTGAGAGTGTATTTTTTTTAATATATATAATAAATACACATTCTCTTGTAATATAAGTGAAATTCAGTTTTCTATGAAACGGGCCCTTTAAAAGTTTGAGTTACTATGTCAGAGATAAGTTTATATTATAGAGTTGCCTCTTTCATGCATAACCATACACTTATGAACTATCAGCAACATAAAAGCTCAGACTGTTTTTGATTTTTCCTAAAGGTGTATTTGTGATTGAGTAAAAACTAGAGATGACTTAAGAAGAATAACCAAACTTACATTTTAAAACAAACCCCATTTGAGTGCAGCCCTGGAAATAAGTACTCAATCTATGACAAAAAGGTAGTTTAACTGGCAGTCCTTCCCTGCGAAGACATGAAAGGTACCCAAAAGGTTCGTTTCTGAAGAAAAGAAATTTCATATACTACTGGTAACTTCACTGTGCTGTGTATTTGTCAGGAGCACTCGTCCTAGTCTCATTATTAAAGATAACACACTTGCTTATCTGTTTACTTAAGTGTGCCTCCAAATACAAAAGTTGACCCAACATACAATATCAGGTTATGGACTAGAACTTAATACTCAGTAAGCAGAAAGAAAATAATAAATCTACAGCATGCTCTACAATGACTGGCACACTTTCAAAGGGCTACTGTGCAATTCAGAATACTTCAAAGCGGTTTACTGTTCAGAAACAAAGCAAAAGCAGGTGTCTTGATAAAGATGTACACAATACCCTGTATGGCAGAATACAGCAACTTTGTGTACAGAACATGTGATAAAAACAAACAAGTGCGTCTTTGTATAGTAACTTTGTACTACTGCACCATGTGCCTGCTACAAGAAACGTCCCGTTTCCCAAAGCAGTGACAAAACTGCAACTACACTGATGTCATTTTATGCCTTCAAAAACTAAAAATGTGTTTGAAGTGCTGTCATAAGAAGTGCTGTCCTTCATAAGTCATTACAAAAGCTACCTTGTAAACTAATGCAAAAAATCCATTAAGTCTGGTTTAAGAGTAAAAGAGGACCCAAAATCACTGTCAGAATAAAACCTTATTTCTCCACTTTTATTATTGTTATTACTTTTATGACATTTTATGTGATGCCAGCTGTCTTTGACATTGTGTGAAATATGACTGGACCAATACAAATGGCCCAAAATAAAGTCTTACAGTAAGACTATATATTAACATTTACTGAATGTTATGAAAGTTACCATTTTGGAGATACAAGGTTTTGTTCAGACAGCGACAATGTTTTGACCTACACTTCATAAAGGGTATTAGAAATCAGCATAGGCACATAGACACAGTCTTATTGCATCCTGGCTATGGCAGGGAACTCCAGCTGGCGTAAAAAAAGCACTGCAGAAGAGCAGAGAAGAGAGAGACTGCTGCATGAGGAAAGTGCATTTGTTACATGAGTACTTTTTTCTCTAAATAAAGTCTCTAAAGTGGAGGAGTGAAAAAGTTACAGTATGTTACAGCACGTTACTTCACAGCATGCAGACACTGCAACATGTCTAACTTTGTTTTATAAAAAGTACTTGACTACTTTCCACTGCTCTGCCTTATCAAGTATAAGATATTTATGATTCAAATCCGCAGAACAACAAAACATTCTGCAAACAAAAGGACTAACACACGCATTGTGCTTATGGGTTCTGATTTTAAAAGGCATTTATGCATATGAAAATAATTCTGACAAGATGAACACAAACATATTTTTCACAATATATGAATGCAACATCACTTTTCAAAACGTTTCATCTGAAACTTTGCTTGATTGTCTGGTCAGGTGCTTGTTGTCATCTGACTTTGTCTTCAGCTGTTTTAAGGACCAAATAAGATGTTCCACTGAATAAAAAGTTTAAGTGGACGGATCCTGAATGCAACACAAGTACGAGTTTCCTTACATGCCTTTTATTTTGGCAGTACATGGTTGACTAATAGCGCCATCACTTGGCCTCAGTAGGCATTTTGCACATCATCAGAATTTGCTTCAAGGCCTTCTGCACATCTTCATCCATTTGACCCTAAAACATATAAAAAGACTTGTGAAATTACGAAGCATTATAGTCACAATGAACACTCAGGCCAGTTAATATATTAAGTACCCAGGAGAAAGAAAATATACACATAAATGATAATTGGCTAAATCCTCATCACATAAGAATGTGTCATGATTAATAGTGATGCAAATTTTGGCAAATACTTTTGAACACTCCCTGACCATCATTATTTGGTGATTAATTGTTAACCAAAATCAACTGTTAGTCCACAATCATAGACGTGACCCATCAAAACATCAACTATAAAACAGGTAGATCCGATTCTGAAACCTGATCAGCTGAGCTGTATTCTAAGCCACTGTAACATTCTTAATACAGGCACACTTAGGAGTGCAGAAATCAACTGAATTTGGTTTTAATAAACCTGACATATGTACATGAAGTAAAGGGCCCAGAACGTTATTGAATATTTCCTACGTAAGAACTCCCTTCTATTTAAACTGATGGGCTGACAACTATAATCTGTTCAAAAAAAGTTGACAAATTTCAGGAACATATAAGAATGAGCTTCTGAAAGCTATATATTCTAAAGTTATATTTACCACTCATTACTTGCTGAAATTCAAACAAACATAAATGCCAGGACAGAGGCAAGGTTTGCCTCAATGTACCTCTCGAAAGCTGCTGCCATCCTCCACGTTCTTCTCTAGAATTTTGCACACTTGATTTCCTTTCACTGCCGTGCATCACACTTGCTCTTGGAGAACATGGACGAAACTGTCGTCTTTATCGTTTGTGGATGTTTGCTTACAATGTGGTACTATAACTGTAGTATTTGTAGCTATCGCCCTTCAGAAAAGTGGTCCTGGAGACCATTTTTTAGCTGCAAGCTTCATTTTTCAAAAATGTTCTACAACTTAAATGATAAACCTGCCTGTTCTGTGTTTTTTATTAGAAATTAAAACTTTCTTTTTTAAACTGACAGCACTGATCAAACACTTATTTGTCAGTTAACAGTTCCATTCCTAATAATAAATAAAAAATAATTGGCTTAGTTTGACCATGATTTATTACATTCTGGGTTACCATACACAAACAGTGTAATAACTCAAATGAGTACAAACCTGGACAGCATAGAGGAGGTGCATCCTGTACACTGAGACAATTTCATGGTGCTGTTTCTTAGATTCCTAGTAATGAGAAGAAAGTGACAGTAAGACTTAAATGCTTTAAACAGCCTATAACTGTTACATTGTTAAAATATCACCTCTAGAAATACTGGCAAATACCTTCCTAAAAGGCAAAGAAGAAAACTCAGTAATAACTGAGAAATAACTGAAAATCAAATCAACCCTCTGCTAAAAGTGTCTGGAAAAGCTACTGGAAATGATCACTCTTTTCCAGTAACAATTTATTTCAAAAAACACTTCTGTTTAAATCAGCAACTACTACTAATGCCTGTTAAACATCTGCCAAAACAACATAGACAAAGAACACAAGACATTTCTAACTTACAGCTAGTTGATATTGCAACTGCTTGATCTGCTGTTGGAGGGAATCAACCTGCTGGTTCTGTTGCCTTTTTGGGGTGCTTGTTGTATAAGAGAGCTGGGACAGGCTGTTCAGGGCATCCTTCAACTTGCCAACCTCCTTTGACAGATCATCAATCTTAAAGAAAGGAAAACAAACATTGAAAATGAGCAATGAGAAAGATAAATCTGGAATCAGAGAACAAGTGATGTGTGTGAGTGGAAATCATGACTAGAAAACTAAAAGATGCTAGTTCACCTTTTTGTTTTTCTCTCTTTCAGAGCTCACGTGGTTCTCCACCTGTTTCTTCAGCTGCACGATGATATCCTGAGCCTCCTTGTACTTTGAGTTTAGTGCATTGTTCTCCTGTTCTCTTGATAAAGCCAGCTTCTGCGCTGCCTGTTTCGCATTTCTTTCATCCTTCACTTCCTGCCAGGCAGCAGTCACCTCCAAGGCCATCTCATCCTGCTTCCTCAGGGCATCCTGAAGCAGGTTGGTCAAGTGGTTAACCTCACCCTCCAAGGACTCTCGTAGCTGCTCATGTTCCAGCCTGGAAACAGAATGGTCTGGAATCACGTCTTTCTCCACCGTCAGCCTGTTCTGCAAAGCGTCCACCTGCGAGGTCTTCTGGGAGAGCTGCTGCTTGAGGGTCTCTATCTCAGCTTCTAAGTTCTTGATGGCACTCCCTAAGGAAGCTACAACCTGAGTGTGGTCTGCAAGAGATATAGAGGATTGGGCCTGGGCTTCAGCATCTTGTTTGAGTTGAGAAATCTCTTTCAGTGCAGCCTGGTACTTGATTTCAGTATCCTTTAATGTGTTCTGTACATCCTTCATCTTCAGAGCCTGCTCTTGCATTTTTTGCTCATGCTGCTCTTTAGTGAACCAGACCACGTCTGGTCTCTCCTTGGACTCCGAGGCTTTAGCCTGGAGCTGGCTGTGGGCTGTGCTCAACTCACTTTTGGCCTCACTGTATGATTTAGAAAGCTCCAATAGCCGCCTCTGCAGTCCTTCAATAACCTCGCCCAACTCGGCCTTCATCTCTTCAAAGTCTTTGGCAGCAGCTTCAACAGGCACAGTGCCACAGAGCGCTTCCTGAAGCATCTTGATCTCCTCTTGTGCCTCCTTGTACTTCTCAATCAGCAACGACTTCTCCTGGTTAATGTTCTCCACCAGAACATTGTAAGAGTTCTTCAGTTCCTGACGCTCATCCTCCGCAATGGAACCACTCTGAAGACGAGCCTCCAGATCTTTTATCAAAGATGCATCATGCATCTTCTCTTCTTGTGACTTGGCCAACTTTGCCTTCAGGTCTTTGACCTCCTGTTCAAGACAGCCCTTCAAATACTGAAACTTCTGTACCACGTGATCCTCTCCTTGACTTGCAGCTCCTGCTCTTCTCTCTGCCCTGAGAGTTTGTACCTCTTCCAACACAGCCTGGTATTTCTGCTGTGAATCTGCAAGATTAGCCTTCAGTTCAGCCACACTTTCTGACATGTCTTCATTTCCAATTTCCTCTGCACAAGAGTTGGGTTTGAGCCTGGCCTGCAGGGAGTGATTCTCCAGCCTTGACTCCTGCAGTTTCGCTTGCAGACTCTGCAGTGCATCCCTAAGTAGCAGGATTTCTTCCTCGCTACCCTCCTTCATTTGTTCAGCCTCCACTAGGAGTCTGCTCTTATCTAAAGCAGAAACTTCAGACAGCTCCTGCTTGTCGCCCGTTTGGCTGTGGAGGTCACTGGAGAAATCAAAGTCTGCCTGAGTGGAGTGGTAAGAGACATTGGAGTCAAAGCTGTTCGGACGCGAGTCCTCGCGGCCTTCTTCGCCTTGAGGAGCTGGACGTTTCTGTCCGGGGAAGAGGGGAGGGAAGAAAAGACATGAAAATACAATGAAAAGCAGTATATCCATGTTGTGATGCATTTAAAGTTCCAATCTCTGACACCATTTACACCTGGTCATTTCACACGTTTGGGGTATCAGGATTATATCCGGATAGAGACTGTCCACATAAAAAATACAGATGTATATGCACTCATAATATTTCAAACTGTTTTACATTTAATCACTAAAACCATTTCAGGAGGTGGTTGGCAAATTTTAGCCAGACATTATACAAGTATAAATGTATTTGTCTGTCCAAGGCACATTCAACAAAAAAAAACAAAAAAAACAAAAAAAAAAACAAACAAAAAAAAACACAAAACAAAACAAAAAAACTCACTCGCTAAATACTGTGCCACTTGACTGCCACCTAACAGAGACATTGTTGATCGCTGCTCGTGTTCTTAACATGGCTTTCTTCACTGAGGTTGATTCAGTAGCCTTTAAGGCTGCATGATAAATTGTGCTTTTAATCGTTATCACAATATGAGTTTGTGATAAACACATTGTTATGTGCTGCAATGATAGTAGTGATGTAAAGACCGGTGGAACACAGCGTTAGTCGACCATGGAGAACTTCCTTGCATTGAGTTTAACCACTGCTTGCCCACGTGTAGAGAACGGCAACGCATTTGTATGTCTAAATTTCCCCACTCATATATGCAATGTTGGACTCCAAAAGAAAATTCTAATTTAAAACTTATTTTAATTTATAATATATTATGATGCTTTATGAGTAGCTTTATTGAAATTAAAGTACTTCCTGAATTGCATATTTATGCTTAATGTTATTATGCAATAGATTATGCAATAACTGTGCAAAAATTAAAATTAAAATGTAATTTCAGTCATATGCATTTTCAATCTCTAATCATGCATTTAAAGTGCATCTTGAAAGAGAACACCAAGCTAGAAAGAAGGTAAAGTTCAAATTCAAATGTTCAAATTTTCCAGTCCACCTTACCCAGTGCAGCAGTTACATTCTGGTGCCTTAATGCACCCAAATGTTACAGCAGCACCATTTAGGGTAGGATGGGAAATTTGAAAAAGAAGCTTCAGCCTGGTTTCATGAACTGAGAACGATGGCTGAAAGTGAGGCTGGACACAGAGATTCCAGGTGATGCTATGCAGGGATATTTTCTACAAAGTGAGCATGAGAGGTGGATATATTGCTCTACCATCAGCTCACCTGCTAATGTGCTACATAAATTGTGGAGGGCAGCAGAATTAAGCTAGCTAAAAGCCACTGCCAATGCTAGCTAATACCCAAACAAGGCCCCTAACTGCTGTTTTTACCAGCTGGTTAACAAAGGTCCAGCTCGCTGTGTCACATGCATATACCAGAAATTTCTGTAATATTAATTTTAAAAAGGAAAGCAGAACATTAAAGACTCCCCAAGCTGATTTCGGTTGAAATATGACAGGGTAGGAATGTGGTACAGCACATTACAACTAATACATTTATGACTACATTTTTGGTAATAGATAAAGTAGAACACATTTTATCCACATCTGATGTATGTAAATTAGAAATTAGCCCTTGATACTGGATTAATCTGTATCTGCTACATCTGTAGCCTACGGTCTGCTCTAGCTTTTTGTTCTCACTGATAATGCAATGTTAATGTAAATGTATTATTAGAGAGTGAAAATGCACATTTTCATTTTAATACTGATATGCAGTATGAAGCAGTAATGGCTACTGTATCACAAACCTGCATCGCCATAAAAGTTTAACTAAATAAACTGGATATTTATTTTTTTGGGCCTATATAGAGAGAAAAATACATGCATTTGTTTTTGTAGGCTTTACAGAAAAAAAAACCTGTTCAGGAAATGCTGACTTTTCACATACGCAATGTCACAGCATTTATTTTTCTGACTTCTGCTAAGTTTGAACAAATAAAGTTAAGCAAAAAAAAAAGTTAAAAAAAAAGTTACACTTATAAAAAAAAATACTATAAGACAAACTATGAATCCAATTATCAATATTCAACAACTGAGCTGCCCTAAATCCAATTAAGCAGGAGCAATTACGCTCGCTCTGCAAAAAAACATGCAGTTAAGAAGTGTTTAAGTACTGACGATATCCATGATATGCTCAGAAAAGCATACTGTGACATAAATTATCACATTAAAGAGAAAATATCATCATATTGCCCAGCCCAGTCCATTAAGGCCGCAAAACATGTGCTTGCAGTTCTGATGCAAGTAGCTATTAGTATTTCATTATTTTTATTTTGAACAATGAATGGTACTTCAGTAATGTTATACTTATCCCCACATGGCGCATATGATGAGCCACACAACTTTGATCATAAATTATTGCTTCTCATACGATCATTGTGACATTCACTAACTTTAGCAAATATCTCGCTGTGCAAAACTGTAATTTTTAATGGAAACTATCACTTTTCAAACACAACAGGCCAAACAAGGAACACAGGTGATTGGTTGTTGTATTAAGAATTAGCACATTATACCCCATCTTTCAATCTGACTAATCAGGGCACATCTGACTACCAAGTGTAAATACATATGGTTAAAACTCATCAGGATACAATCCAGATATGAATCATTTGAAATGACCAGTAAGTCTCTGTTTGTACTCATTACGATTTGTAGTCACTGAGCAGGTCCAGAGGGCAATAAACAATACCTACATTCTCTTATCATTCTCTCTGCAGCTCATGTTATGCTACAAAAGATCAGTTCTGTTTTTCTATGAAGCAATTACCTTGATTATCTGAGCAAGCTGCTGGTTTTCTAAGGAGAGGGAGGCCACTTTTGCTTGCAAGGTTGCAATCAGTGTTGACTCTGCATTCCCACAGTGCTCTGTCTGTGTCAACACAGGAAACCAAATAGGGCTTACTTTAAAATACCTCTTTATTAGGTCTCAAGCAGAAAATCTCACAAAATCACTATGAAAAGCATTCAACCTGTCTGCACACTGACGCTCTGATCACGCAGCATGATTACGGCAAAGCTTCTCTGACCAACCAGCCAGCTGCAGGAATATCATTACTGAACATCACGCACCACTCAAGGGCTTTAGACTGACTTTACATAAACATAGTAGAGGAAACAAAGGATACGGGCCACGAATATTAGACTGTTGAAATGCAAATGAGGTTAGAACTTAACAGAATCAGCATAACCCAAAAAACAAAACGACTGGGTCTAGCGGCACGGATGAGAGAGGTCTGCTGTCCTGTTCCCTTGAGCAAGGTCCTTTACCTGGCTATGGTCAGTAGTTGCAGTTGTTAAATGGGTTCCAGAAAGAGCGAGTGGCTGAGGATCAAAGCGGCAGCCACATGAGGGAATATTAAAGGGCTGTGCTGTACTTGCCTTGGGCTCAGTCTGCTCCACAATCTGCTTCAGATCTTCAATGGTCTCCAGCAGCATACTCTTCTCTTCCTGCAGCTTCTCTATTTCTTCTTTCATTGCCACACTTCTCAGTTCCTCCTCCTGAAAAATCACAAGTACAGTGAAAAAGTGACAAGAATGGAGGCACCAAGGAGCAGTTCCCTTAGGGGGTGCTGTTCAGTGTAGCACAAAATCAATAAGTATGGCTTGGATGCCCACAGTGCACATTACCTTGTAATTGAACCTCTTGGATGAATCACTTTTACTTGATACTGGAGTTTCAGTTGGGGTGAAATAAGGTGGAGACACAATGCCAGTCAACTGAGAAAGATGCAAAAGGACACAAGAGCCAAACTCAGCAAAAACATACAAAGATAATACATCACAAAACACTAAGATGAATAATTCACGCTCATCAATAGTTTGATACGAACACACGGTCAAATTAAGATATTCCTTTTTATGGTGCTTAGCTTATTTAAAGCAATGATTCAAAAACTTCATATAGGATTGACACTAAACCCAAGTCAAGATGGGAGCAAATCTGTTACTTTCCCTTCTTTCTTTTTTAGCTCTTCTCTGATATCCAATCTCGAATGATAATGTGATACAGGTAGATATTAGAAGCTCTGGCAGATTCTGAATCAGATTTCAGAAAAATCCATTTAGCTTCTTTTGATCTCTTTTGCTTCCACTATGGTCTAACTTAACTGATTTGTCAGCCAATCTATATATAATTCTTCTGTAAAAACATCCTGGCTGGGGCACTTAATGTACTGCATATGGAAAAGCAGAAACGATTGCAGATACAGACAATTAGACAGACAGAGCACATGATGTGCCTTTACCTGGACTGGACTAATAGGAGGTGGGGGTGCTTTTCGTTTTTTAGGGGTTGTGCTTCTCTCTTCATTTAACTTAGCCACATGATCATGCTGAGATTGTGTCAGTAAGAGAGTGAAAAGAGAGACAAAAAAAGAGAGCAAACCAGAGGATTTAGAGTGGTTAGTAACAGAAAAGAGTAATATAAATAACAAGAATTTCACAGGGAGTATGTTTCCTATCTACATTGTAGGGTACATGCTCATGCATGTTGCTAAAAGTGCATTAGAGGATAAACAATACAGGAATATAAAACACTATCTGGACATTATGGCAAAGCAGGGAAGAGCTCAATAGAGTAACTACAGTGGCAAGAAACTGAAAAGAGCGATCATAATATTGATAACCTGAACTTTATGGCATTTAGAGGAAGAATCATTTGTAAACTCGAAGGCGTGTGAATCAGAAAAGAAAATTAATCAAAATAAATGAATGAAAACAAATTAAACAAGTAGCTTACCTGTGGCGTTCTGCTTGAACTCTTATCTGCTTTTATATAAAAAAAGGGGAAAAAAACATGAGGTGGGAGTATGAAAAGAAATAAAATGCCATGTCATTGCCTGCTCCCCATTGTAATTACGCTTGTATTCATCTTTCCATCTTTCATTAATATTCACAATTCTCTAATGTCTGACACAGGCTGAGGATGTGCACTGACGAAGCATTATTTGACCACCACAAGATGGCAATGTTGAGCCTACAAGGCCTGAGTGAACAGTAAGGGATGTGCACACTGCTTTGACCAAAAGAGGAAAATAATGACACTATGGCTCAAAGACACTGCTCACAAAATTCCACCCACTACAGTTCTTTTATGGTTGAAAACTTCTTGAAGAAAAGATGAGCACAGCAAATAGCTCAAAGATGTCTCATGTGTCTTAATTCACCACAGAGAGCCTTACAAGACTACAGGACAGAGCACAGTACAAGAGTTTACTATTCTCTTCAGAAGATGATCCAGGTGTCTACTTCAGTAGTAGCTCTAACAATCAATCAATTTTACCTACATGTTTCTTGCTTTGTATCTTTCACAAATGACTATGGGGTCTCACCCAAACAGTTTTATTTACATAAAAATAATCTTTCCTAGCTATTTTCTGGGTGCAGCCCAGTTAAGATGTTCTTGTTTCACTACCCTAAACCAACAAGAGCTTACCTTGACAGTGCTTTCTGTCTAAGGCATTAAGAACATTCCTGTGGCTGTGAAAATGTAGCTTCCAATCCTACACATACAGCCTCTGTGACTCATGCTGTCTGTAGCTCAGTAAACTCAGCTCAACCTGCACAACTCACCATGAACACGGCTGGGCTTTTAAATCTGATGTTAAAATCAATGGATATCGAATGATGCTTAGTGGTAACTGAAAAATGAAGATGAGAAAATACAATGCCATTGCCTTTCCTAGAGCTAATGTGCACTTGAAAGAGACCTGAGTTGGTGTGTCTTAAGGATTAAGCAGGAATCACCTGGTTCAGACTGCTGCCGGTGGAGGGCGGCGGTGATTAGGGCCCGAACCTCCCCGCTGCCGGACAGCTTGGTGTAATGCAGGACGTCATGGCCCAGAGAGTCGACCATGAGCAGGTCCGCTCCTCTCTGCACCAGCACCTCCACTGCAGGAGCACAGCTGCTCTCGCTGGCCAGCATCACAGCCGTCCTGCAGGATTTACATCAATCAGTCAGCCAGCCAAATCATTACCACACTTGCACAGAAGGCCTGGGTGAGGACAAATCCTACTGCAACAACTTATTTTGGTGTCATAAAGAAAAACAGCATAACTGACAGACACAAAGTAGCTCAGTAATACAATGCTGTGTACAAGTCAAAAACAGAGCTTGATTTTCTCAAAAGCCATTTCAAAAGCTTTAAAGCAACACTGTGTTTTGGGTATTTGAAGACCTCTCTAGTGAAAATACGTAACTGCACAAAACATGAGGAAGAACATTTTGTAGCATCAATTGTGCTTCGGACTCCCACATACAGATGAATGTCCAAGGCTGTAAGCAAATTATCTACTATTGCAAATCACATCTTTATCAGTATAGCGCTGATTTTGCATTTGAGACCCAAACATCAAATCGGACCTCATTTTTGAGCCTGTTCATATGACGTTAATATGCAAACATGTATGATTGTGTGCAAAAAACTCCCACCGAATTTGTTCCAGCACCTCTGACTTTTAGATGATCATTTCAGGCTTTACAGGGAGACTCACAGCGACACACGCACACCATATTTTGGTATGTTCTTTTTTCCGCCATACTCAGTAACACTAGTCATTTCAGTTTTAACAAAAAAGATTACAGTGCTGCTTTAAGTACTGCTTATCTGATGGTCACAGTTTTGGTGATCTCCCAGGTCTTGCATGATTTTTAAGAGTCCCAGTTTCTCTATATTTTAAATCAAGTTTTGAACTTCAGTTCTGAAAACTCCATTCTGGCCTATTTTTTTCTTTTGGCTTTCTACCCATTTATGCAAGTGGTTTATCTGATATAATCTCTTCAGAAATGTCTCCTAAAAATGAATAACGAACTTAAATGAAAAGTGGTCTCAGGCTTTTGCACAGTACTACAGATAATCAAAATTGGCTAATTAGAACTGTTTGAATTGTATTCTGGTCAGTAGTTTTAGAGGAAGGTCCCACCTGCCATTCTTATCACAGGCGTTGATGTCAGCTCCCCAATCCAGCAGGCTGCGACACACCTCTGCATGAGCATGTCTTGCTGACAACAGCAAGGGCGTGAACCCATCCTAAAGGAAGGACAGTGAAAAGATTAACTCTTTAGGTCTAGGTTTCATTTTCTGAACTGAGAAATTCTGACACAGGTAAAGAAATGCATAGTGCTGCAAAGTCACAATGATGCAATTCTTGATATACATGTATCTATTCCATAAAAAGCAAACAATGATCAACACACCCAGAAAGGAAATAAAGAGTTGCAAAATATCTTTCAGTATCTTCTGATTTTCCATATTTCAGCCAGGGAGAGACCTCAAAGACAGTATTAAAAGCTGTCCCTCCTCCTGCTCCCAAGGTCACTGCAGGCTTTGCCAATTAGCACAGAACAGAAAAGTGACACCTCATCAAAAGCACATTTAAAGAGCCTGAGCTGAGCTTCAGCATGCACTCCGTGACATGCTAAAAGTTCAGCCTCAACTCAGGACACTCAAGCATGAATGCATTTGGAGATGTAGGCATCTGTCATTGGTCATTAATCTTAACACGGCACATAACAATGCCGTTCACTGCACATAAATACCTGCTACAGTGGCAGTAGTCTAAGACTGTGGAAAAGTATGTGCCCTACATACATACTTTGAATTTTGTCCAGTAGTTTATTTATTCTCAGTACGTTCTATGGGCCAAGAGGGGCAGATCTGGATTCTCAATGTCAACTCTAACAACATGGTGTCGATTTCACCACCTAGGCGTGAGGGCACTGAAACCCTGTTACTCCCCATTTATGATTAAGGTGGGCTTTTATGTTCAGGCCCATGCAACCTTGTTTTTCAGTAGGTATGCATGTGTTCTTTACCAAAATTTGAAGTCCTTTGAAGTGGCCTCTAAATTCACATTCACCAAGACTAAGAAGGCTTTCATTTATTGACCAGCACCATCAACACTTTCCCACATTGAAAAGCTGTACTTGCAATGCTCCATAAATCTGGGAATCCAGGATTTGGAGACATTGATTATAGCTCAAGCAACAAAATGTGAAGGACAAAATGAGTAGGGACAGTCCCATATAAAGTAAGTTTGGTCTGGCATCTGTACTGGAAAGAACTCCAGAGCTTGGTGACTAATTTAACAATCTGACATTTAAGCCATGTGTAATGCTAGCACTTGACATGAATGCAGAGAATGTTATGGCTACAGTTTAAACCAACATTGAAGGAGGGGCCAGTCAGCGATTTGATGGGCTATTTTCAGACGATTACACATCAGTACAGTGTTGTTTGTTTTCAACACCACGACACATTCTGACTTTTCAGGCACCTTAGCATCAAACCTTAGCTGTACTCTAACAGTCAATTACGGTAAAATTAGTATTTGCTTTTACTAGCTAGCGACCAATTCCTTAATTCAGAATGGTGTAAACTGAGCTTTAATCTTCATAAACTGTTAATGCACAAAATTAGAAATTAAAAAACTCATTTAAATTATACTGCATCACAGCATCATGATTAAATAAGCACTAGCAAAACAGGTTTTAAAAAGAACTTATATTTGCAAACTAAAGTGCTGGCTCTGTTGTGAACATGAAAGTTTACCATAAATAACTTCTTCCTCATATTATCCCTACATAGACTTTACAATAGTATTTCTTCCTTGGGGAAATGTTTTCTGGTATTTATTCACAAGCATATAACAAATGTGGCATCATAAAGATTAGCATGCTGGCATGAATCCTTCAACCAAAAAAGGGAAATATATTCCAGATGTACACTTCATGCTCTAAACTTGCCTTGAACAGGAATTTTGGCCAGTTTGCGCACCAATGAAGATGCAAAATCAGCTTTGAGAAAAAAGCCTCTGTGAGAGCAGCCACGCATCACTACTGTACAGCCCTGTCATTTTCACCGGCTTGGCTTTCGAGCACCAGGATCCGCCCAAGGAACTCCCAGAGTTCCTTGTCAGTGGGCATCAAAGCTCAACTGTAATCGTCTGATCTCAGCAAAGCATCACAGCAATACACGTTTTGAAGTTTCTGGCTTCCAGCAGAGTGCAGGTACTGAGATCAAAACAGCAGCATGACAGTAGGAGGTAGACAACAGAAACAAATGTGCAAAGCTTGTCTTTGAGAACGACTACAGACTAGGGAGCACTATAGACACTACCGAATCACACTTAACATGACTCAATTACTTTTTGATTTTGCTAAGCGCACACCCTGGAGAGCTTCCTCCATGACTGTAGAGTAAACAGGACAATGAAGATGGCTCATTATGCTGGGTATTGTGCACAGCAGCCTAGACAGAGGGTAACAATTTGATTTAAAGACTAAGCCATTCAGAGGTTCTGTAATGTGCTTACTGAGCAAGAGTCATTAGGGACTTTCACAGTGTAAGAGAAGTGCTTTAAAACACCACTGTATGAAAGTCAGAGAGCACTTAATTTCCATTCAAAAAGGCCATCAAGCACAAGTTATTCATTTGTAAGAGATATTTCTGAAGAGATTAGTGCCACTTGCATAAGCGGAAAGTCAAAGTGGAAAAAAGGAGTTTCCATTAAGACAATTTTAAAAAAATGGGATTCCTAACAACCAGGCAAGACCTGGTAGAACACCAAAACAGTACTTTGAACTTTGAGAGACAGGAGAAATAGCTCAAGCTCCACCCTTGTTTCAGATCTGGAAAATAAATATTGAAGGGTTTTTTCTGTCCATTCCTTCACTGTGGACAGACAACTCTGAAAAGATGTGTAGCTGTCAAGAAGACTTCACTGAGCAAAGGAAATCATTATCATCATAAAACATCAAAACAAGACATCTGAAATGTCTTATGAGTCTAAATTTGTAATTGGGACTGCCTGAATTGTGAAAAAAATGCAACCAAGTTTTAGACTGGAAAATGAATAACTTCTTGTTTAGATGGTAGAACAAAAAAAAACGAAGGGTGGTCTTTTGCACAGTACTGTAACAAACGGATTATGAAGGTTTAAGTGAGAAATATACTGGTCCTAAATAACCAGTTATTTCATTTAAGTTAGTGACCAGTATGCAACCAGAGTATTTAAAGTACACGCTCCTGCTTCCAAGTCACACCTAAGTAGTTCAAAGCACCCTGTTAATGTTATTTGTCACAGCATAAGCATTTCTCAGGTATTGCATCAGAAAAACGGGCCTGAATCCTGTTTTGCAATCATGTTAATCCAAAGGACTACATGAAGTACAATTAATGCAACAAATCCAACCTATTTTATTCTCAATTACAATGAACACGCAAAGGGAGACTTAAAATCTTTGTTTCATTTGACTCTATTCAAGTGATTCAACTCACAGTTCTCTCATTATGGGCAAGGCGGCACATGCCGACTCATCTGTGGCACAGTGTGCTGCAAAGTAAATAAGGTCAGCGCTACAGAGAGGAGAGGAAAGCATGGATAATTACAATGAGAATCAGTGTGCTTGGCAGAAACCAGACAGGAAAAAGCTTAACAAGTGGCCTAATGCCCAACAGAGGGAGAAAGGGGGGAAAAAATTGACATAGCAATCTCCTTCTCATGGAGACCTCAAGTCTGCCACTGGGAGACTCAAATCACCACAACCAAAACACAGAGCCTAACCCCAAGAGAACATATTTGGCGAGTGGCTGTGTGCTTGTTATTGCACATGTTTGAGGTAGACCACAGGCACATTTGGATTGTAACAACAACATGTCCAATGAAGAGTGGAGGATGGCTAGGCTTTCAACTGATGAACACCGCTAATTCTAAACAAACAAACAAATAAACAAGTAAACTAGCAAATAAATAAATAAATAAATAAATGAATAGCACTACATACATACCGTATCTTTGAGATTCACAGGACACTTGTGCTCACATAGAAGCTGAACAATCACAACGCTTCCACTGGCAGCTGTAAGAGAGAACAGAACAGGAACAGGTTCAGGAATTCAGGAAAATATTAAAACGCCCCATAGCCTGTGTTTTTCTTGCACCCCCCCCCACCTCCTAAGGTTTACTGATAATATTTGTTTGGTTTTATGAACCAAAAACAGTGATTATTCACTTTTACATGACCATTTTCCAACCTCTCTTTGTCTGTAGGGATTAATCAGGCTGTTTTGTAACTGTAACTGAACTATGTAAGTGATCGCTGTTCTTACTGGCTTCCCTGTATTGTGCCATGTTCAAAAAGCAGTCTAGGCTTAAACACTAATAACTTTAGTATCAATGAGCAGGGCAAAACTGCTGTAGGCAAAACAGGTGGACATATGTAAATATAATGATGTTCGTCACATTGCAAAAACAAAGAATTCAAAACGGGCTTTTTTTGTGGCTTAGTTTTCATATATAGACTGTACAGACTAAGGAGTGAACAATGTTTCGAAATGACAATATTTGCACACCACATCAAACTCTTATTTAACAAAAAAAATAAAAAGAAAAAAAGAAAAAAAGAAAAAAGTAAAAGTAAGTTTTCCATGATGGGGCCCTTTGAAAGAGCACAGAGCACAGTCCTAATACAGTAATTACTGTGAAAAAAATGCTGAAACTGTCCCACAGAGAGACACAAGCTGACTCTCTGTGTATCCCATTTCTCCCCTACAATCAATCAACACCCCACCCAGCCCAAAATAAACATCCATATTCTATGCTCTCAAAAGCAGCCAGCAATCATCCTCAACTGGCACACAGGTGCCATTTCTGTTCCCTATAAATACAGTGAAACTATGATTTGTCTTAGTTACCCCTCTCACTTAATAATACCCTGTCAGCGGCAGGTTAGTCCTCGGGTGGCTAAAAGCTCTCCAAACTCTGGTCTGTGTTTTTGCTCCATTTTGGCTTTAAATGGAGCAAAACAAAAACAGCTGGACAAATGCTTAATTAGCAACAGACATAATGTCACTTTGTCAGAGATGCACAATTTCTATGCAAGAAGGAACTGACTTGCTGGGGAGCAATTGCTAAATGGAAAAGACCTCTAAGAGTGAAAAACAAATACAACACTCATGACGTCACGTCTTTTACTGCCAGCCTGGTACAGTCATGCTTAAATAATAGTTCTTTCAGTGCTAGAAAAGAGAGAGTCCTGCTGAGAGGTACAAGGCCTAAACAAAGCAATCAAAAAGAAGACAGCAACAACGTAGGCACATCCATTTTACTGATTATACTCATAGAAAAAAATGACGGAAAAAAAAAATCTATTCCAACAAAAGTACCACTCCAGACAGCATGAAGAAGTCTAGACACACGCTGGACTTGAACGTGTATTGAGTCTCTTACCTGCATGATGAAGAGCAGTCCTCCCAACACCGTCCAGAGCGTCTACCACACATTTGCTCTGTAGAGACAAACACAGTATTACATCAAACGCTTCCCTGAGAGACGTGCCATCTTTTGCCCCAAAGCTCTCAAGAAATAACAGTTACAAACTTTAGATTTTAAAAAGAGCTGCTTTAAAGTGAAGAGGATTTCTTTTGAAAAGACTACTAATGGCACCCCCCACCTCCGATTAAACATTTAACAATCTGTCAGACCAAAATTCATGTCTGAAGAAGCACAGGGCTTTTTATTTGACAGGCATTAACAGAGGAGAAGAGGTATGATTTATCAGATCTGACTTCAGCAACCAAGTGGTCTTGGCAAACATACCCAGTGTGGATATATCGTTAACTGTAATCACTGACAGCCAGTAATTATAAGTAACGGATGGATGCATGAGACAGGGACTGGTTGGGCTGAGGCATGTGCTTTTGCATAGACATGGCAAACCTCAATTTTCTGACAAGCTGTGAGCTGAAGACTTTCCCTGAATGAACAACTGATAGAAATCTTCACAATTTCATTTCTGGAATGATTTCTGTTGGACAAATGTGTTTGCATTGATATGAGGATGCATGCAAAAAGTTACTTTCAACAGCAAACAAATAATTATTCAACTTGTACATCTGCATCATGAGCACTTCCAACAATGTGAGTGTTTGTATGCAAGTTAACATTAAACAGGGCTGCACGAAATAATTTCTTATATCGCAATACTGGTTGTTTCGAACAGACACCACAGAAGTCTGTAATGGGCGAATGAGCCGCTAGTCAATCACTAAATGCCTTGGAGTGTGCTCTGCGCATGTTGACCACTCACAGACGTTCTTTGGGTTTGGATAAATAAAGGCATATATATATAATCAAACAAACAAATGCTGAGAAGAAGTCAAGAGACCACCCTGCATGTACTGAACTTCCTGTCAAAACATTAAAGTTTTTCATTAAAGTTTTTCATTTTTCAGTGTCAGGAAAAGAGCTGAACACGTATTTAACAGAAAAATCACACAAAAGACTCAACAACTATTATTTACAGTATTTACTGTGTCCACCCTTTGCGTTTACTATAGCCTACATTTTTTTTTGGAGAGACTTGCTTTCAGTTTTTCAAAGAAATCTGCAGGGATATTTTTCCACTCCTCCAAAGTTTAGTAAAGTTTGTTGCATTTCTGGACTCTGGGCTGGGAAAACTGAGGCTTTATTCACACATGCTACCTCTTCGTGGCATGAGCGACGTGGCAGCGTGAGTGCTGCAGCTCGAACGTGCTGGCCTTTCATATATACAGAGTTTGTGCTGTGGAGTGGAGCAGCGAGAAAGTTATACAGACATTCCTTTTTCCACACAGATAAATGGTCACATCGGTCACTCTGCTCAACAAAAATATAATTTCTGAAAGTAAATGGTGTATTTGTTTGTTCTCAACAGGATTCTGACTTGTGATTAGGCAAAATGTTCAAGCCTGGTAGAACAACTGGGAAATCTGTTTGCAGCACAGAATGTTTAACTAGTATTTCATCATTAAGAGTTTTTAATGTTGTATACGGTTTTGTTTTTAATTTTCACTGATTTTCTTGATTTACTTTGCTGTGTGACACACACAGTGTGCGGAAAGAAATTGGTGCCGGGTCTACTCTCTAAATACTGCACCGCTTTAGTGTGGCATCTGGGAATCTCTGCTGTTTCACACACACAGCCTGTTTGAAAGCACTGACCAGTTAACACGGGTGCCGAAATGAAAAGCATGACTTTCCACATCGCTCACGCCATGCAGACACAGTATGTGCGAATAAGGCCTGAGAACACCAGCAGCTTTGTTTGATTTGTAAATGCTCTTCTTTTTTGTCCGTTTCTTTTTGTCAGTAACAGCTTCTTGACAGCTACACATCCCTTCAGACCCATAGCATTGTCTTCAAACAGAGGAGGGATGGACAAACATCTTTGAATTTTTTTCTGATCTGAAGCAAGAGTGGAGCTTGATTTTCTCTTCTCTCTCAAAGATGAAAGCTTTAAGAACTGTTTTTTCTGATAGTGACAGTTTCAGTCTACCAGGTCTTGAATGGTTAAGAGTCCCATTTTCTCTGCATCTTTTTTTCCATTTCTTTTCTTTTCCTTTGCGTATGCAAGTGGATCATCTTATATTGACTCTCCTCATAAATACCTCCAGAAAATCATTAACTTGTACTTAATTGCCATTTGACAGGAAATTAAATGAATGTTGGTCTCTGACTTTTGCAGGGTACTGTATTTTTTTTCCTCAAAAACAACACAGGCCCAATATTAACCAACTCACATCAGATGTTTACTAACGTATTTTAATAAATTGCAAGGTGTATCAAAATTACAATATGTAGTAATAAAATTCCCATTTGGTAATTTATCCAAAATGCAGCCCCAGTAACCAGAAAAATGAATCACATATAACTACAAGTGATATGAACTCATCAGAGTAGGGAAGAGCGAGTAGCCATGAGCAGAATGGATTTTTAATCTCTGCAGCTCCGACAGAGGCAGCAAGAGTAGAGAAGGGCTGACTGGAGCAGTGTGGGAGACATGGTCACACACTCACAGGAGCCACCAGGTGTGTTGGAAGGCAGCGTGGGCTGTTCAAATTTTCACAAGATCCACACCAAACAGCCCACGCTGAGTTAACCATGCAAAGCCTACACAACACAGCTCACACAGGGGCTGACAGAACTGGTGTTTCAGAGTGTGATCAGAAAAACATTCACTCCAAAAAGACCTGAACAGTGCACCAATATACTACTGAAAATAAAGGAGAATAATATGCTAATCGTTAGCACTTCGTATGTTTTCACACTATGGTAGTGACAATGGCAACAGAACCTATGACAGGCAATCAGACATTTTGAGCACAGACTTATCAGCTACAAAGCTCAGGTGTGTATAGAGCTTATCCATGCTGTAGTTCCAAACTACAAAAGGAGCTGGCCAAATAAGCGCTACAACTGCAGTTTTTAATCACAGCAACATGCAGCACTTCAGCAGCTGAGATTCATCCTGCACTACTATAGAAGGTTTGAAGGCACAAACTAGGAAAATAAGTTAACAATGGTAAGATAAATAAATAGATAAATAAATTCATGAACAAACAAAAATGGCCTTTTTACCATGTTGACACAGTAAATCATATAATTTCCTGCTAGAACAGCAAAGCAATATAAGCTTTCTTAGGATTCAGCGTTAAATATGTAACACTACCTTACCTGTATCAATTTTTTGGCACAATCCTGATGGTTGTTTTTGGCAGCAAGGTGTAAAGCACTAGAACCTAGAGCAAACAGAAAAAAGTAAATTCTCCCAAAGAATAACATTTAACATGATTTAAATGACTTAAACAGTGAGGTATGTATGAGAAAGCTATTAAAAAAAATATGTTTTGGACTCAAAGCACTACACAACACAGGAAACAAGCATGAAAAGTAGCACCCCAGAGTCTAACCTGAAGCGTCCACTACAGAAATGTCAGCTCCATGGGCCAGGATGACAGCTAGGCACTCTGCCTGACCCCGAGTGGCTGCTACATGCAGACTGAAGGAAAGAAGACACAAACACAGACAGTTACAGTCCGAAAAGACTGTACATGATTTTCAATAGGACTTCAAGGTGTGGTGTAAATTGAGTTTAACTACATAAACACATTATAGTGTATTTGGGTTAAATTGGTCATGTGCTTTAAAAGGTAGGCCACCAACATGTATTGGATGCATGAATGATCCCTTAAGGGCAAAGGCAGAACCATGTTCACTGGTGTATAAACACAAGGGCCAATGCGCAGCACTAGGTCAATCCGTTTTTCACTTTCACGGATGAGGCATGCACGAAACACACTGAAGCAACGTGCAGTACTGCTGGAGGCTATAGAGAAAAAGTATGAGGACACTTAATAATTAAGTCAATATATTTGTCAGTCACCAATGCATAAAGTGCATACTCTTTTTTTTACATTTCCTGAATTTTTGGAATTCCTGGCCCATGGGAAACCAGCCATAATGATCTTTCTTACCAAGTCCTGCAGGTTTAGTCGTGATGCAGACTTACATTAGCAGTGCTCTCTAGATACTTCAGTGAATTGCTTTTATTGAATTCTGTCAACTCAATCTCATCACTAATTACTACTGGTGAACACAGTGGCTCGAAAGTCTCAGAGGCACTACAATAATAAAGCAAGGGCAAACTTGAATGAAAGTTGAATCAGACTATCCCTCTCAGTTGCAATAAGCCTCTAAGGACAATACTGGAGCTGTTTATGATTCTGTAATGATTTTCTACAGTACAGTGCATAAGATATGCCATGTTCCTGCTACGGAAAGGTCAATCCAGGACAATCAAGACAATATACAGCAGCCAATATAAAGCAGGGGAGAAAAAAAAAAAAAAAAATTTCTCTCTTTTAGGGCACTGAGCTAAGCTTGATTTTTGGACCAGAACCCAGTTTTATTTATAGATATCTGAGATTCCTGAATAGTGTCTCCGTATCTGTCTCTGTGTTTATTTTCCCTCAGATACGATCGGAATGTTATTCACTAGAGGAATAAGTTTAAACACGAGGCATGTGTAATATTCTCTGTAAACCTTCCTGCAAGGTATTTATGCAAGAGCATCAAGCAATTCCACTAATTTATGTTAATCCAATCAATTAAATAAAAATCTGATAACATTTTCTAAAATCAGACCTTTTCAAAGTGAATGTCAGTGGAATAGATATCCAGTCCAGTCTTTATCTTCCACAAATTAGACATGCTTTTTGTGATTACGATAGTTCAGGAATGCGATGCAAGTCTGTGGCCTGTATGCACCCCTGTAGCTTATGAAGCCTCCAGAGATCCAACACAATGGCCTCTTCATATGTTCAGATAAAGGGTTATTGTGAACTTATGACAGTGCTTCCGCTCAAAGTCAGCTGAATGAAGACAAAGTGCTGGGGACTAATTCAGGTCAGCAGTGTCCGATTGCACTGCATCTGTAGTAAAGAGGTCAGCCCAGGGGGTCTTTCTCTATTTGTCTGAGGCTGGAACCACACATGATAAAGTACCATGAACTGAAGTGAAAAAATTGTATATTATGTACATTAAGGGACAATTTAATATACAGCACTGTGCAAAAGTTAGAGACCACCCTTCGTTTCTATAATTTTCAGTCAAAACTGGAAAACATTTTATTTTTCAAGTTATTTATTTTTCAGGAGATATTTTGGAGAAGATTTTATATATATATATATATAAAAAATCAACTTGCATAAGAAAGGGGAAAGTCCAAGGAAGCAGAAATTTTCAAAACTAAAGTTCTAAAATAGGTCTCCAAACAACCTGGCAAAATCTGGTAGATCACCAAACATGCTACCATCAGATAAGCAGTAAAGCTTTGAGAGATAAGGGAAAAAATCAAGTTCCACTTTTGCATCAGCTCTGAAAAAATCCACAAGCGTTTAATCCTTCCACTGTGAGAAGACATCACTATGGGTATGAAAGAATGTGAAGCTGTCAAGAAGCCGTTACTGAGAAAAGGAAAACATGCAGCTTCCTGTTATTGTTAGAACAATGTTCTGGCTACCCTAGAGTCTACACATCAACTATACTTCATGCGTTTGAGATTTCTTGAACAGCAAGAAGCAGAAAATGCAACCAACTTCTAAGACTAAACTTTAGCGTGTGGAAAAATATCTCTGCAGATTTCTTTGAAAAGCTTATGGCAAATCTCCTGAAAAGAATGGAAGCTGTAATAAAAGGCAAAGAGTGGAGACAAAGAATACTGAAAATTTAAATTATTTGGTCCATCATAATTATAATCACCTAATCGCAATTATTTGAGATGATCACAATTACTGACTGTAATGTTCAATTGGAAAATTTGTGAGGGCTGAGGCAAATAAATGTGAATAAAATAAAGCAGTAAGAGACACATCATGAAACTAAAAACAAAAAAAATCTTTTTGGCAGTGTAACATGTTTAGAGGCAGCGCTGAGTGATGTCTGTTTGTTGTTAGCTATGTAGCTAATGTTTTAGCATGTATACTAACAGCCAATGACTAATCAGCCAGTGCCCTCTTTAGGCCTGTATTATAATAGTTGCAACGATGAACAAGAAAAGACCATCAAATCATTGATCGCAATAATTTATACGATAATTAGTCATCAGCTAAAACTTCAACACTCATAACAGCCTTAAATATTATATTTAGCTGTTGAGTCTTCTGCTTTTTATCCCCATGGCTAAAAATTGTAGAATAATCTGTACTTAAAGGTTGTTTAAAAAGGAAATTAAACAAATGAGCAGTGATCTTTGACTTTTGCACAGTGCTATAACACAGTACTGTTGAACAGTAAGGTCAGTGAGTACTAGAGCACAAAGAAAACATTCACAATAAGTCAGTGCAGCTACATAAATACATGGAAAGAAACATGTCTTTCAAAATGAAGGCTGAAAAAAAGAAAGCAATCTATGATTTAAAAGTAACCCAGTGTAAAATTGGTCTCCACATCTGAAACAATGGAGAAAATTCTAACGTCAGTCTTTTACAGACTTGTTCTCATTTCGCTCTGCACATTCTGGGCACCCAGAAGGGCTTTAGACATTAGCAAAAGGCGCTAAATGGAAAATGCATTTGAAATCAGATTACAAAGTGTGAGCATCCTCGCCTGCAAGCAATCAACAGCTGAACAAAACACAGCATTAAATACAGGAGCAATGCTGATGTTTATCCAGGGTTTCAACTTTCAGTTTCACTGCTAAATGTACGCACTGATTAGAATTTATAAAGCATTCTCCTTTAAAATGTGCTTACTCTGGACACAGCTTCTAGGTGAATCAATACAAAAACATCCATTAGGAATGCTGACGAGCTAAAGTTGAGATTCGTGACTACAGTGCACGATAATGTGCATGGATCAATAGGCACGTCATCCCAGTACTCACGCAGACTTGCCCTCGCTGTCCAGTTTTGTGGCACTGGCTCCTTTCTTTGATAGGAGAGAGGCGACCTTTTCTGTTTCTCCATGCTCCACAGCACTGAGGAGACGCTCATCATTCTTGCTCCATTCATGAGCCTGAGGGCAAGAAATGCAGGAGTCAAGTCTCATTACAATCACATCCTTATAAAGCTGATAAATCAAGAACTTTCGGTGTAAGTGGGTGATGCAATAACTGACCGCGGGAACATGACAAATGGGACAAACACTACTGAGAACAGTCCATGAAAAGAAACTGTGACTGACAGATTTTAAGAAGCTAAAAATTTTGATAACTGATAATATGGATATAAATAATATGGCAGTTAGTTGTAAATTGAATTGTCAAATATGATTGTGAACCATAATGCAATTATCAAATTAAACAGTTTGAAAACAGAGTTTCTATTTACCCATTTAGAACCCAGAAAAGATAACACACATGCATGTTGGCCAGTGCCAGAGACAAGAGTCCTCTTATCTGGTAACTGAGAGGAAATTACCCACTGTTAACGGGTTTGATTTTTATTTGACAGCCTGTGGCACTGAAAGACAAGGGAGCACACTGATAGCTTAATCTTTATAAAAATAAAGGAGCATACACAACAGTTTAGTTCAAAGTACTGATTTTAACAAAAAAAGTCTAACAAAGCAAGTCTAACTAAAAACAGAATTGTGACCGTCGCACAAACTTTACCGTCTGAGCCCACTTAGCTTCGCCTGATGCCTTTTTCTATGAAGCCATTTCACCTGATGTATGAGAACTGACACGTGATTTTACCTGAGACCCAGTGTTGTCTCCGAGACCCAAAGCTGTTTTATTTGATGTCTGAAACCTTACGCTGTGACTTGAGGACATCCTAAAAATGTACACCGGACCACAGAGATGGCTTTGGTAGTAATGTAGTAATGTCAATTTAACCAACATTTTTACAAGTTCAATTATGTTAGTGTGTGGGAATACTAATGTCTCCCTATGGTTTACATGAAATCAACCAATAAAAGCGTTTTTAAACTATTGGTGAATGAGTTTTTACAGTCACTGCGGGCTGTTACCCACAGTAACTCAATTTGTAGAAAGAAGATGGCGGTTCATTTGGTGTTTTGTCCGTGTAGACATCGTTGGTCTGTATTGCATTCATACTTTAAATGAACCATGAGTTTGCTTAGAAGCAAAATGATAATCTTCTTCAGGGTCTCACTCTGCTTATTTGGTCAGAATCAGGGTTTGCTTTGATGCATTCCCACTTGTTCTAATGCAGTGCACTAACTGAGCGGTCACACAGATTCGTTTTAATCAGGACAAACAAGCCAACACACTATTCACGCTTCATCGACAGAATTTTCACCAATACTACACGAGCCCTCATTGGGCAATATTATTGGGCAACCCATGCATCAGCTGGGACCTACTACTGACTGACATCAAGTGTTTACTGAAGTGCTGAAGACAGGCCATCCAGACAGCTGTTACAGATTATTTATGACTACTACCACTGGAGGACAATCATTGAAATCAGTGGGTATTACAATTACCTGGTGTTACAAAATCACTCAAGCCAGACATATTTGTCTCAGCACACCAATGGATTTGCATATTTGGTGAGTTTCAAAGAAAGTTTTGTACTAAGCTTCATGCAAAGTCACAAACTATCAAATCCTCCACCATACAAATTCTTAAAATTAAGTGATAGGTCCATAAGTACTCTCCAATCTTACAAATTAATTAATGCTTGACTGTCACGCAGAACTAATAAAACCAACTCATGGAGTGGAACTGGAAGGCAAAAAGTAAAGTAGAACAACACTGTAATGCTGAAGGCTAAAGAGGTGCCATGCTTGAGAATGCAGAACAACTTGAGAAGGCCACAGAGTCAACTGGGGTCAAAGTATTTTCCCTGTGCACTGCAATAACCATTTATGAGATAAACTAGTCAGCATGCTGCTCCTAGAATAAAAATATACTATATATAAAATCAGCATGCTGCTAAGAATATGAAAACATATATTGAGAACAACATGCTGACAAAGATTTGATTCTTATCATATATTGGAGACACAGTGTATTAATATTTTTGTTAGTTGCTTTTTTTGGTTGAACACCTATTTTGGATTTTTTGACGTTATGCTTGCTATACTTATTTTTATTACAGGATTTATTTATTACAAACATGGGGGTCTTTAGGCAATTTTAAACACAGAAGATGCAACAGCATGAAATGAATTAGGAAATCTAACTTTGGATATTACTAGAGGACACTGCTCTCTTGCTCAGGGTTTCAATTTAGACTGTGAGCTGAGGAAAGGCAGTGTTTATAGCAGAAGCAGGAAAGACCACAGAGGTCAGCAGACAAAACGCGGAGGTCCTTGCTTGAGTCTGTCACTATTTTCGGAATGCACTGCAACACTACACGGCCTACTGACAGACTATGGAAAACTGAGTGCTATATTTGTAAACTGCTTCTCTCTGACCTACTGTCCACAATCAGCTGGTGCAGCTGAAACTCAGTTCATCTACTACTGAAAAAATAGTGTGTCAAAACTTCTATGCTTACAGGTCACAGTTCATAGTTAGGGGTCAGTCAGTGTTCTAAGCATGGAAAATTCTCTTCAAATGTAACCAACACATCTGGATTATTGATTTTCTAGCTCTTATAGCTCTTTTTTAATAAAATGTAGAGCTAAGTATGCAGACTGATCAGTACTAAAAGAGCAACATGAATCAAAAGTTAATTAATGCTGCATGATATGGACAACACTACTGTAGTGCTTTATTCCTCTGTTACTGCTGCTTTATCACTTGTATTACAAGTCCAGCTGCACATAACTTCACATGACCTTTCCTTGCAATTCATTTGAATAAGCTTATTTTCACAGATATGAAAGCTGTAACCTCTCTCACCTTAAATCTTGACCAAATGCCTTGGATGTGTAAGATTTAGAACTGTATGTAGACTGTATAACATAGTTAAGCAACTTAGGGTGTCATCTGTCCGAAACAAGCACCGCAGTCCTTTGTGATTTGGAATATGTGCAGTCGCAGAATTTTAAGTTTTTTAAATTTAAGTCTGTAAGATCTGTTGAAGAGAACAGCATTTCAGATAGAACTAGACATTTATTCCATACAGGAAAAAAAAATGTTAATTTCTAGGCTCATACCTACAATATGCCAACATATCTGATCTTCAGTAAGAGCTGAGAGATGTCCAATAGGGTGTCACGATACACATTTAAAATGGTGAGATTTCTCAGTCAAGTGCAATAACGGACACAGCAGAATGAGTGGCAGTGTGCTGATACTGCTTAATGGGAGGATCAGATACCTGTGCTACCACCTCAAATATGCTAACTCATTTGTGAAGACAACAACTAAACGTGCCAGTTACCGGGACAAGGAGAAAGCACAAAGCCAAAGTAAGTCAGCTTCTTATTCAAATTCTCCAACATCTCATAGAATTTTCTGTTTCACCTTATATGGAGCAGGAGTTACATGTTACTGCTGCCCCATGTAAAGTGAAACAGAAAATTCTAATAAGAAGCTGGTAAATATTAAGCCAACTTCAGCCATGTGGAGAAACCTCTATTCATTTGTAGAGTCCACCTCTATTCAGATGTAGATTCTATTGTTTGCTGGTGTGACAGAGGGAATTTTCTGTTGTGGCCCACTCATTTCAGTCAAAAGGTTAGAGACCACACTTTATATACAAACACAAGATCGTATCATAAATGAACTTGTAATGCTCAATTCATTTAATATTGACATGGCCTTGCTAGTATACACTGTTTTCTTTTATACAGCTATTGCACTTTTCTTTATTTTGTGTCTAAGAAAATGACTTGCGCCAGTTGTCCTTTCAACAAGCACTTGACTTTTAGAGTGGAAAAACACATTTTGGGAATTACCAAAAGATAATTAAATACAAAAATGTGTGTTGAATTTATGGCAGCATTTCTTTTCTAATTTTGTTTTGAAAATGTACCGTATCGTGATGAAAAACAGTAGTACATACAGCATGGAGAAAAATTCACTGAAAGCTTGTTGTGAGATTCTGCATTACATTCAATTGCTAACCAGTCTGCAAACAAACACACAGCAGCTAGGCACTGTGTGCTGCTTCGGTGTGCCAGTGCATGAAAGATGCAGTGCATTCTGGCATTTCTGAAAAAGTGCTCTATGCACACCTTCCAAAAGGTAGCCTTCATCAACTGACAGGACTTCTAAAGTAATGGTGCATTGCAGATTGTTTACAGGCCCTATCCCTTAGAGAAAAGAGATCATTACTCGTTCCTGCAAAAATATCTCCAAATATCCCATAATTGGCCAGTTCTAACCTAGGAGCTAAAAATATTAAAGTCTTTATATAACACTGAATCCAAATCCATTCTACAAGGCTCCATAAAGTACAGTATGTTGTAATCCAGCCAGAAACAGCAACACTTAACTTTATCAGGAAGAGAGCTGAGACTTAAAACACATGAGGGGTCAGGAAACATGTAACAAACAATCCCCACCCATGTGTTATTGTAAACACTTAACTGCTATCTGATTGAATTCTTCCTCAACAGAGCAATATTTAAGCAACACAAGACGACCAGGGTGAGTAGTATAAACCAAGCAGCCGCGAGGTATAAACCTAAAAGCCTTCAGAATTCGGCTCACACACACACACACACACACACACACACCTTTCAAATATGACAGAATATCATTTCCACCATTTGTTTACAAAGTGGGATGTCAAAGGAGAGAATGTCTTTATTACAGAAATAATTAAGAACATTACAAAGGTGAGCAGAATTTCTACATAAGCAATACAACAAATGGAAAATAAATAAATAAATAAATAAATAAATAAATAAATAAATAAATAAAATTTAAATAAAGGCAGATGACTCCAGAGACCATGATGGCACTTAGCATCTTACTATTGCTGTACTAGTACATTATATCCAGACCCAGACCACAAATTCATAGCAGAGGAAATGGGGATAAAATTTACTATTATAAAGTTATCAACCAAGTTTTTAAATGTAAACACAAAATGTTAAAGCCTGTTTTCATCCCTCAACTAATGTTACTAGCCTAGTCACATCATAAT